GAAATTTCTTTGTAGTCTAGAAATTTTTACAGCATGGCCCTAAAACTTTACTTCCTAATGTATGTAGCCTGTGCTTCTTCCATATCCCCCAGTTCAAGGAAGCTCTGATTTCAGTAATCTCTGCTCGTCTAGAGCACCATCTCCCTGCCCTCCACCCTCGGGAATGATCTCAAATCTCCTACACTGAAAACACAGAAGCTCTCTTTCTTGGGCTCCCTCATCTTTTCATCGCTCTACCCCAAACATATCTATATCTATAACTATCTTCATTTTTCTTCCTGGCTTAGGGAATAAAGGCTTTTGGGTCTTTAATTGCTTCCCTTGGCTTAAGCACCTGATTCCATCCCTGCTTGTCTCCTCTGGTACCTGGTATGGTGCCTGGCAAAGAACTGGTCCTCAGAAACTTTGCTGAATGAATGACGGGTCTTGCTCCATCCATTCTCTCCCTTTTACCATTTTAGTATGTCTAGCTTCTTTCACTCTTTTGGCTCTGTCAACAAAAAAAATCACAAGATCCATAAGTTCAGAGAGGAGAACTTTATTTCTTACAAAGGGTAGCAGCCTGCAGGCTGGCCATCCTGACAGACTGGGAAGCATAGCCTCTGGCAGAGACCTAAAGATAGGCACTTGGAAGGAAAAGGGATGAGAGACAGAAACTTATGCTGAATGCATTGGCCAAGTATACATATTCAACAGGTTATAAGAGGAGCTATGAATATTCACAAAGGGAGGATATGCACATGCATAGTAAGTGGACATGCATATTGCATATGTCCCATGTTCACTTTGAGGTGAAGACTTCACATTTAAATGTATTACAATTAGGCCCTATACATCAGAAGGTGAAGCAGGGACACAAAGGCATTTGGTACATAGCCTCTGTAAACTGGCCAGAACCAGTTCATAATTGGTGATCTCTTATCAGGAGAGTTACTGAAATCAGTCTCTAGTCCAATCATAGCTGTAGTTATGGCTGTGGTATAGGGGGGAGAGTTAGCATTTAGCAGTGGGTGAACTGCATTCGTTTTAATATTGCTTATCTTGAGGCTGGTGCTTATTTAGCAGCTAGAGAAAAAGAAAAAACCTTGCAGCAGTCAGGAAATAGTTTATTCTTTAAGTATAGGGGGTTCATGACTTGCCTGGGATAGCCTTAAATCTTGTTTATTTTTGGTGTCTTATTGGCACAGAGTCTGTTCGGTTCCATCAGGCTTATGATCTTTATTTCAACATCTCCTTCCCCTTAGCCTATATGTGATCAAGTCATTTCCCATCTGTGATGGTTGGTTTTTTGTGTCAACTTGGTTAGGCTATAGTGCCCAGTTATTCAACCAAACATTAACCTGGGTGTTGCTGTGAAGGTATTCTGTAGACGTGATTAACATCCACAATCAGTTGACATTACGTAAAGGTAACATGGATTAGCCTGATTCAGTTAGTTGAAAGGCTTAAGAATAGAACTTAGGTTTCCTTGAAGACATAAAGGAAAAAGAAGAAACTCTACCTGTAGATTGTGGCTTCAGCTCTTTCCTGAGAGTTTCCAGGCTGCCTTATGGATTTTGAACTTTTTTATCCAGCTCCCACAACTGTATAAACTAATGTCAATAATTCCCATTATATATCCTATCTGTTTAACTAGTGGAATCCTTACTGGTACATTATCTTTAAAATCAGCACAAAACAAAACAATACTCTTCTTGATCCCCCTTCTCTCTGTCACCATATAAACTGTCTTCCCTTCTCACCTAAGCTTCTAAAAGCATTATCCTATATGCACTGTTTCTACTTCATCCCTTTGCAATCACCTTTGAGCTATAGCCCCATTTATTCAACTGGTGAATTGGACATTTTCTTGTGGACAGCCCATGGGCAATCTCAAACTCAGTATATCAAAGCTATCTCATTATCCCTGCCACCTGTTTATATCAGTTCTTCTTCTGAATGCCATATTTCAAACTCAGGGTGAAAATCTGGAAGTCATTCTAGACGTACAGATATCTAAATACAGGTCGAGCATCCCAATCTGAAAATCTAGACGCTGAAATGCTCCAAATCTGAAACTTGAGTTCCTACATGATGCCACAAGTTACCCCTGAACACATTAGTTTTTCACTGTATTAGTGACATATCATATTTTTTACTGTTAAGTACTTCTGCGTGAATAAATAAAATAATTTCTTATCAGTAGCATAATTTCAGAGTCAGGAATAATGATGATGCCAAACAACCACAGACTGTCCATATGGGTGGCTGAGATAATGACACCTTTGATTTGTGATGGTTCAATGCACACAAACTTTGTTTCATGCATAAAATTATGAAAAATATTATATATAATTACCTTTTGGCTATGTGCTTAAGCTATATATGAAATATAAATGAATTTTGTGTTTGGACTTGGGTCCTGTCCCCAAGATACCTTAAGTATAAATGCAAATATTCCAGAATCAAAAAATCAGAAATGCAAAACACTTTCGGTCTCAAGTATTTTGGATAAGGGGTATTCAATCTGTACTAGACATCAGATAAGTCATACTCTTTATCTCCAGTGCTCAAAGGTTTAGGATTTCATCATTTCCAGCCTCAGCTTTTGTAATAGACTCCCATGTTGTTTCCTTACCCCCATTCTCTTCCCCCTCAAATCTATTCTCCAGAGTGCTGTTCCTCTGATACAAAGTGACTAAAACTGCCCCGCCTAAGGCTCAGTGAGTGGCTCCTTTACCAGCTACAGCAAGGGCACCTCAAACCAGACTACCATCATAAGGATCTTTTAAAAAACCCAGATTATGGCCCTACTCAGAACTAATGAATAAGAATTTTGAAAGTGGAAACTGAAAATCTCTACTTTTAAAAGCTATCCAGGTAATTTTGATAATCAGCCAGGTGTGGGAATCACACATCTTCAGGTAAAAATCCAAATTCTTCCCATGATCTGACACCAATATTCACAGCTTCATCTCTCAGCACACATTACTGACTCAGGGCTGGCGATTTCTTCAAATTCATGCTTGTTCAACACTTCTCTGTCAGGAATATCCTTCTTCTCTTAACTGCCTGGGAAGTTCCTATTCATTTTTTGAAAACTTTATTCAAGCATCATACAACCTCTTATTGAGCCAGTAAGTATCTATTGAGGTCCTACTAGATGCCAGGCTCTGAACTAAGCATTGAGATATAAACACCAGTTAGCGGTATCAGTAGTACTGCCTCTAGTAGGTTCACATGCCATTAGAGGAAGAGACATACAAATACACAAATAAATATAATACAGTGAGGTAAATTCTATGAGAGGCTGCGGTAGGCTGAATAATGCCCCCCCCAAAATGTTCACATCCTAATTTCCAGAATATGTGAATATTTTACCTTACATTGAGAGGGATTTTGTGATATGATTAAGTTAACCATTCGGAGATGGAGCAATTATCCTGATTATCTTGGTGGGCCCAAGGTAATCACAAGGGTGTTTTTGAAGAGGCAGGGAGGCAGGAGGGTGAGAGAGAGAAAGGTGGGGGGAGATTGAAAGGTGCTATGCTACTGATTTTGAAGGTGAAGGATGGGGACATGAGCCAAAGAACGAAGGTAGCCTCTAGAAGCCACAAAAGGAAAGGAAATGAATTATTCCCTAGATCCTCCAGAAGAAACCATCCCTGCCAACTTTTGTCCAGTGAGATTGATTTTGGACTTCTAACCTCCAGAAGTGTAAGATAACTTCACCTGGTTTCATGCTATTAAGTTTGCTGTAATTCATTGTAGCAGCAATAAGAAACTAACACATAGACCAACATAGGGCATGGGACAATACATTAAAGTGGTCTCTGTAACAAGTTATAGAGTGAGGATGGGGTGTTTAGGAAGAATTACCAAAACTGATGACCCCAGAGCGGAAGAAAGGAGATTCCAGAGGATGATCCAGATAGAGGAAGCAGTAGGTACAAAGGCACACAGAAAGAGCATGGGAAGCGTTTCAAAAAGGCGAGACTGCTTGTATTAAATAGTAGTAATAATATCAACAATTATGGTAAATTTTTATTGTTTGTATGACAGGCATTGTTCTAACCTCATCAGGTAGATACTATTATTATCATCTTCATTTTACATATAGAAATACTAAGGTCTGGAGGAGGCAAGTAGCTTTCCTGAGATCATAGAGCTATTATTAATAATTGTAAATGGGTAGAGTTAGAATTAGAACCCTGCCAGTCTGTTTTCAAAATCCACTAACTGCTTCTCTAATCCATTATGGTGGTGGCCTTTAAGTAACGGGGCATCATTGTGGCTGAGGATAAATGAACTTTTAGATATTAATGAAGTAAGGATCAGCAGAACTTGGAATATCATCTTGGGTATGGATGGATGATGGCAGTGATGGATAGTCAGAGGATTTCCATGTTTGTTTGATGTGATCTAGGTCTCGCTGTTGTCCAAGATATGAAGAGGCCTTCTTTGACTACTCAATCACTTTTTCTTCGTTACAAATTTCACACCTTGCGTAAACCTCTTGATTTCATTTCTTCCTTTTCCCCTTTGAGGTGGAGTCTGGGGTTTAGGCACCAACTCAATTCTGGGCCACAAGTTTCCTTATCTGTAAAATGCCTCCAGGTAGTTCCAGATTTGGTTGTTCCTTTTAATCCCCTACGGGGAAGCTTAACCAACATGCAGATTCCTCATCCCATTCCCAGAGATTCTGATTGAGTAATACTGGGATTGGGCTTTTCCCCCAACGCTTTCCCCGCTGATTCTGATACGCCGCTGGGTTTTGATAACCAGAGGACCGACGACAATCTGGGTCCCTCCCAGTCCGCTGCACTGTATTTGGTCGCAGGACTCCGAGCTCTGCTTCCGCCCGGCCCCGCCCTGCCACTCGGGGATGCTCGCCTCCCGGCCGGCTGCTGGCCCCGCCCCAGCCCCGCCCCGGCCCCGCCCCATCTCTTCGCCCCTCCTTTGGCCGCTTGACTTGGTCTCGCCCAGCTCCGCCTTTCCTAGGCCCTCCCGCGCTTCGCAAGATGGCTGAGCTGCTGCCGGGCCCGGAGCCGTGGAACCGCGTGAGAATCCCTAAGGCGGGGAGCCGCAGCGCAGTGACAGTGAAGAACGGCGGCGCGGCCCTGGGTGAGAGAGGCGCCAGGCCAGTGGGGCAGACGTTTCCGGAGGAGGCCCGTAGCCGGCTGGCGCACGTGGGGCGGGGGCGGGACTTCCTGAGCCTGGGGGACGCTGGGAAGGGGCGCGGGGCAGGCTAGTTTGCCGGAGAACGTGGTAGGGTCTCTTGCTTCGCAGTCCTTCACTGCACCTGCTGTGCCAGCGCAGGGCTTGGCTGGAGCGATGAAGGACCAAGGCCCAGCCCCGCGCGAAGGGGGCGGAGAGAGGCAGATGCAACTAGCGCGGGGGAATAGTGCTGCTTGGGAACCCTGTGCTCCCTCGGGCCACATTGAGCCTTGTTTAACTTTACGTCTGTTTCCGGACTCCTGCCCCTTAGGAGCTGGGGGCGTCACCTAAGCAATCTGGAGTTAAACTGCAATCTTTCTGGTCATCCAGCTCCTTATGTGTAAAATGAGGCTAATCCTCCCTACCGGGCGTCCCTGGAGTGCGGGGAGAATCTAATGATGTAATTTCGGAGAAAGTGCTTTGTAAACTAAAGTGTTTTACCAGCGTACGGTGGATGGTATTGCTGCTATTAGGCAGCAGGGCGTACATAGTAGTAGGTGGGAGCTTGGCCCAGGAGCCAGATTATCTGGGTTTTAATCCTAGCTTTTCCCTTTGCTGGAATTTGGGGAGTTATTGAACGTTTCTGTACTTCGGTGATCTCACTTTCAAATGGGGATTAAAAATAACACCTAACTGATAGGATTGTTTTGGGAGAATAAAAGAGTTGATATTATAGAGAAAGCATTTGAAACACTTCCTGGCATGTAAACAAACATTCAGTGATAGCTGTTAATATTAAATACTTAGATCATCTCATCTTCTTTCCAATCTGTTCATTCTGTGCAGTTTACAGCTTAGCCTTACCCCTTCCTCTATTCATAAATTAGCAGAATTCCTTTTTAGGCATGGGAAATTGACCCACTCACTTCCCATCCCCGAGGCAGCCTATTTCTGTCTTTAGATAGTTGGGACAGTAAGAAAATTCTCCATGTTATGTAGAAACCTGCCTTTGTGTTGCTTAGACCTAGAGGGCCAGTGCTACCCTTAGAGCTGTAGGTAACATATTAGCTACATCTTCTACCAAGCAGCTTTTAACATGAGGAAACATCTGCTGAGCACCCAGTGTTCAGTCAGGCATTCATCAAATAATGTAATTTCCAGTTGCCATAGTGGTTTTTCTTTTCTGAATATGTTCATACTTACCTTAAAGTGGTATCCAAATGCAGAACCTTTGACTTTGAAGACTGGATTTTTCCATTCTGTCTTGCTTATGTGCATACAAAAATGGGGGATTTAGAGAAGCAGATAACATGTACCCCACCTTAAAGGTTCTTAAAGTGTAAGTTTACACCAAATGACTGACTGCAAAACATTCATATGAAGATTTGTTAAGCCATAATAAAATGCAACATGGTGTACATTCTTATTTAATAGATGTTCTCTTAATGATTTCCTGTAGTGTATATCACCTGTTACCATCTTCCAACTTCTCATGTACTTAGAATCCTTAATCGTGTACTTACAGTTGAAGCTGATTACATTAATTTGTTTTTGATTCCTTTAAAACAAGGAAAATTGCTTCTTGCAGTGTATTTTTTCTATCATATACTTAATGTAGAAATACATACTAACTCCTATTAAATGTCTCTACTCTAGACCTTTGCATTGCAGCTGTAATTAAAGAATGCCACCTGCTCACACTGTCGCTGAAGAGCCAAACCTTAGATGCAGAAGTAGATGTGTTGTGTGCAGTCCTCTACAGCAATCACAACAGAATGGGCCACCACAAACCCCATTTGGCCCTCAAACAGGTGAGGAGGAATCCCTGTGTTTAAGACCCACCTGTTTACTTGAAGATGTAGATCACACTGCCACTTAGTGTTTTGTTATTTATGGAAATCTCAGTAAGTTACCTGTGATTTATAGGTCTGTACACCACAGTTACATGTGGGCTTTCTTTTTTTTATTTCCTGAAAGCATTTCAAAAAAATAATTTTTGTTAGAAAAGAAATATGTTTAGATTGATTTTTTTTTTTCTCCCAGTCTTCTTGTAGTGGATAAATAAAAGTTTTCTTCATTATATGCAATTATAATGACAGTGCCTTTGCCCAGTTCAAAGAGTGATTTGATCAAGACAGAGTGTTGTATATTAATAAACAGTTTCCTAAGCATGATAAAAATGCTGAAATTATAAAAAGAACAAAGTTGGGGCTTATTTATTGTGGGGTACATAATCTATTCAGTAGTATTTTGGAGTAAATGAGTATATATTAATAGCAAGTTGTGGTGTAAAGTGGTTTTATATGAATTTTAGAACTTAAGTCAAAATTGGGCCCTCCAGCTCAGAGACTATACCATAGAGTAGAGCCTCTTAAGCTGGCTTCTTTGTATGATCATTCATTCATTCACTTTATTAATTCCTCAAAAAAATTTTTTTTTTTTGAGACAGGGTCTTCCTCTGTCACTCCAGCTAGAGTACAATGATGTCATCATAGCTCACTGCAACCTCAAACTCCCGGGCTCCAGCTATCCTTCAGCTTCTCAAGTAGCTGGGACTACAGGCGTGCACCACCACATCCTGCTAATTTGTCTAATTTTGTAGAGGCGGGGGTCTTGCTCTTGCCCCCACCTCAGCCTCCCATAGTGCTAGGATTACAGTTGTGAACCACCTTGCCCAGGATCTGCAAGTATTTTTTAGAATTCCAGTGGGCTATCCATTGTGTAACAGAACCACCTTGCAGTATTTTTTAACTTTCTCTGTGCCAGGCAGTGTGCTTAGTTCTGCCAGGGGTGAAAAAAACAGTCTCTAATCTTATAGACAGGTACTTTCTAGTTGATTTTCTATCCCTGTTACTTAAGGCAAAAAGGATGAAGATTTCTTAATCAAAGAAAGATCTGGGATTGTGGACTTATCTTCTAGCTTTTATCTCTTTCTAAGTCTTTTAATCCAAAAGCAAACTTGCTAACTCTGAGACTGAATGTATTTCTCCTCCTGGCTTCCAGGTTGTGAATAATCACCCAATCATAAAAATTTGGTATTCTCTTGTCTCTGTTTCTTCCTTTTATGTAGCTCTCCCATCTAGTCAGTCTGTAAGTTAGAACTTCCTCTGCGTCTGGTCTCTTCAGTTGTGGGTGCCATTTTCTTTTTTTAGACGTTGTCAACTTTTAGTTGTCTTACTGTCCTGACTGATGTTTCCTCCTCCAGTCTTCCCTACATTCTGGCATTGTTTATATACCAAAAGCAGGTTAATCGTCCTAAAACACAATTTTGATTTTTAATGGTTCTCCATTGTATCCTGAATAAAGACTAAACTCCTTACTTTGACTTACAAGATCTACTATGATCTGGCTTCTTCATTCTTGTTAGCTCTGGCTTCTCTCTTGCCTTCAGATATCTTATGTTCCAGTCAACCTGAAGTCTTAATGAATTTACACGCTAACTATGTTTGTTCCCTCTTCTGAGTCTTTGCTCACCTGATCTTGTATGTGTAGAATGCCCAGCCTTTTTATGTCTGCCTGTTAAAGGCCTTCTCATACTCTAAGTACCATTTTAAGCCTTCCCAGCAGTGATAATCTTCTTCTTTCCAAAGTGTAACATGAGTGTATATTACAGTAATCTCATTTTAAGTTGCATTTTTCTGATTATTAGTGAAGTTGAATTGCTTTTTCTTTTTTTATTATTTTTGGTTACTTGGGCTCCTCTTTGTACTTCTCTTATAGCATTAAATACATTGGTTGTGGTACAGTTATTCATTGTGAATGTGTTTTATGTTCCCTGTGATCCCTTAGGTAGGGAGCATGTCTCATGCTGCTCTTGCTGCTGCAGCTGCTATTACCATTACTACTACTGTCTTATATCTGCTTAACATTTCACAGTTTATAGGGAACTTTCATATACTTCAAGATTTATTTTTTCTGCATTCAAAAGCCAGATACTAGAATTAGCCTCTCTCTAATGTTCCCTAAAATGAAGCACAGAAAATCATCTTCATTTCTCTTCTGTGCGACAATTCTGTGAGTATATGAAGACTGTTCTTATGTTTCTTCATGTCTTCTCTCTTTGCTAATGATCTCAAGGTTTTTTTTCTCTTTTTTGAAATTACTGTGTTCTTCAAATGTTTTACCATCTTGGTTTGTTCATACTTCTCTGAAAGGATGGTGTCCAGACTTAAACATTGAAAAAGATAGGAGCTGACCCCAGAGAATTTAAGGATTGTTCTGAGAACTGTTAAGGTAGAATCTATAACCTTGATTCAATTTTAGTAGTATATATGTAGCTCTGGCAAGATACCCTTGTTGCCAGTATCAGTGATCATCTAGATCTTTATATCTTTCAAAATCTGGGTGCAGTCCCGTGCATGCCCTTTGTATGGTATTTCTCAAGGACGGTAGAATTCATACAGCATTTTGTACGATGCATGGCTCTTACTTTTTTTTCTCTTTAAATAAATAACATTATTGAGTACCTATTCAACACTGATCTAAGAACTGGGTTACAGGTGTAAACAAAATGGACAAGATATATATTGTCCTTGTGGAACTTACATTATAGTTAGGAGAGAAAGGCAATCAATCAATCAGTGGTAGGTCAGGTGGTGGTTAAGTGCTGCGAAGAAAAATAAGGCAGAGAACGGGGGAGTGCTGAGGGGATCGAAATTTTAAATAGGGTCTATCTATTTTTATTTTAGTATTTAATTAAATATTTTATATAACTTATTTTTACTACTAGATTTTTAGCAACCAGAGATTAGATAGTATCTTATCTATCATTTTATTTTACCTCCCAGCATGCCTTTCATGTAGTAGGTATTCAGTATACATTTGTTCAATGACTAAGTCAGTCACTTTCCTCATCTCTGTGGTACTTACAAACTGTTGAAATTTAGTAGTTAAAAATTTACTGTCTTACTAGTTTCACTATTGTATCACCTCAGCAAAATTACAGTCTTGAGAATAATCTTATACTCATTTTGGTCCCCATTATAACATCAAGCACATTGTGGCATATAGTGATTTCTTAGTTGTTACCTGATTTCAGAAGTTTGGTAGGATAAATTCCACATTTGTAACCAGAAACAATTGCATGGACTTCAGATTTCTTTACCCTTAAAAAAATAAGTATTCTGTGGTATTTGGCATATTTCCATACTTCAGAAATTTGAATCTCTGCTTTCCTGGTCATAATCGGTGACCCTGTCTGCATTGTACACAGATGAATTTGAGCTGCTTTTTCTCCTTCAGGTTGAACAATGTTTAAAACGTTTGAAAAACATGAATTTGGAAGATTCAATTCAAGACCTGTCTGAGTTGTTTTCTTCTAAGTAAGTGGGCCAGTGACTTTGTGATGTGCTGGGCTGGGAACTTAATGCCTTCTTGTGATATCCCTTTGGACTTTTCTATGCTTGGCATTGGAATATAACCGATTATACTTCAGCTGTACAAATTTTGTTGTAATAAGGGGTATTTGTGGTAATAATTTCCCCTCTATTGATCTATGGGAAGGACTGGTATGATATTGAAATCTGGGTCATGGTAGGTTATATCGAAACATCAGTAGGTGGTTATTGAACATAACTACCTCAGATTGAGCTTAAAGCAAATCATTACTTGAAAACCACTGTAGATAAGCTTTGTATTTAAAAATGAAAGTAATCTATTTTTTTATTTTTTGTCAAGTGAAAATCAGCCTGTAACTACCAAAGTGTGTGTCATCCCCAGCCAGCCAGTGGTGGAGTTTGTGTTGATGAAGGTTTTGGGAGCCTGCAAGTTGTTACTCCGCTTGTTGGACTGCTGCTGCAAGGCCTTTCTGTATCCTTGGGTCTACTGAAGTACCTTCTTTTCAATTGGAATTGTTTGGCTATATTTAAAAGTATTTTTGTTTGAAATCTAGGGCCCTATAGCAGTTATAACCTGTCGTGGCCCGTTTCTAGGGACGAGGAATGAACACAGAGACAAAAAGACACAGACACACACAAAGACGGTACAAGACTGCAGCACCTTTCTGTCGCAGTTTCTTTATTTATAACACAGCCTGTTAGGCAACTGTCCCACCGCAATTTCTTTGTTCCCACACTGTCCCGACTCAACATGTCCCGTTCCTTGTTGTTTCGTCTCCGGCGAGCAGATGTTTTCATCCTGAACTCTCTAGCCCTTACTGTTTTCAGATCAGGGCACCCGTGGACTCGTGTTCAAGCCCACAGGCATATTCTGAGAAAAACAACAAGGAACCGTTCCCAGACAAAATGTCCTCTACAATAACCTGTAGGAATTCTTAAAATTTTCCTTCTTGGACTCTTTTTGTCAGGAATTGCCTGATGGAGCCATTATGCCAGAGACTGCCTTTCTCTATCTAGCATGTATCAATATTATCCCAAGAGCA